CCTCTGGGGAGGGATTGCTTCAAAGCTGCAGTAACGGAAATCTGAGATGTAGTTACTGGCCAAAGGCCAGTAGAGACACTGGTCACTTGAATGTGTTTATTCCTTCCTAGCTTCAAAAGAGTTGCAGCAGTGGAAAAAGAAAATTAAATATGCCATAATGATTGGAAAAAATTAAAACATTACCGTGTTACAGTAAAAGAAATAAGGCATGGAAGTGCTTCTGAAGAGCAATCAAAAATACAGCATTTCCACTGTCCTCGTTTCCCATCACTTACTGATATACAAGTCAGAAAGACGCTCCTAATCCAGGCTGTTCCCATGGCTGGCATTTCATGTCACTTTAGCTCAGAAAGGAGCAGTAAATATACATAAGGAAAAACAAACAGGCATAAAACCTCCTCACCCTTCACTGCAATTAATTATGATGCAAATACTAATTTTCTTTTACTAATTCATTAAGAAAACCCATGAATCTGAAAGTTATTAATGGATTTTCATGAAATTAAATTGCCTGACCATGGTATACCTCTTCATGTCATTTCTAATGTGCTCTTAAAGCAGAGAAAGAAAAAAAAAATCCTTTTAATCAATGTCTGCAGAAATGTTCACTTGTTCCATGTGCCTGGTGATGTTTTGTTAAAAATTCATGCAGTTAGGAGCCTAGAAGATGTAGAAATACACATTTTGAGTTTTTCCACAATTTTCATGGTATATCCAAGTGTCTCTACATGATATTAGCTTTTCTTTTTTTTTTTTTTTTTTTTTTCCAGTGCATGCTATTAACCAGTTGACATCTTTCTGGTATCTGTTATATAAATCTGCACTTAGCAATACAGCAGAATAATTTGCTGTGGGGTCCTCTTGTGATAAGGATAAGAGGATTTTTTAAATCATCATTATGGATGGTAATAATTCCTAGAGTGATACAGAGATATTGATCCACCGATCTAAAACAACATTTTACAGAGGTAAAGGAGCATTGCTATCCTTATTTTAAGGAATGGGATAACAAAGAGATGCTGAGACCAACTCGCTGTCAATACAGCCTATCAGTGGCACAGCTACAAATCGAACTTGGGTATTTTTGGCTATTTTTGCACACGCCCGCTATCATCGCATGGCTGCCAGTGTTGGCATCTCTGGTCATGTAGACATTACATAGTGCTAGGAGTCAGGAGGTCTGAAAGTTTCCTTAAGCCATTTACAATAAGTGATTTAAAATCTTAATCATCTGAGGCAGTTCACTTCTGCTTTTTCATGATAATGAAGCTTAGCACATGATATCACAATCATGAATTTTTGTAAAGCATACTTAGCTCTCCAGAAGAAGTGCTGGATTAAACAACCCTGAAGGCTGAATCCTTCTCTTTGAATAGTGAATATAGTACAGTCAGTGGCAAGCTTCTTTAGATAGTCCCATGAACCCTGCTAAAGCGAAGGCCAGCCTCCATGTCTGTTGAGTCCCTGGTTTCTTTATCTCTACAGCCAACAGGGTATTTTTATTTTTTAATACTTTTCACAGCTGGGAATTACTCTCTGCCAGCTAACTAATTTCATGGGGACTATCCCAGAGCCTTTGTAAGGTAACGCCTTTTGGTTGCTGCCTACTTATTGTAGCTGGCTGGAATATAACAAGTTGCAGACATAAACAATTATTTCTTAGATTCAGGAATGAACAACGGTGAGGAAAAAAAAAATATTCTGGGAAAAAAAATCTCAGTTTCTTTAAAGTATACTGCTCCACCACTGGTGCTTTGAATCATTATTTTAGTCTTGTTTTACAGATGAGTTTCAAACAGCTGACAATAGGAATTTGGAGTGGAAATGCTGATGGTCCATTATCAGTAGTGACAGCAATGGGTGCGACTTTATTAAAGTTCTGTCAACTCTTGGCTAGAAACTACAATAGAAACAACCAGTTCAATCTCCCTCTCTCTTTATCTTAGCACTTATATCACACTCATCACAAAGTGTTACATTTTCCCTTGATGCCACAGGACGAGATTTCTCCTTGCTACTGGAGCCATGTGGTACACTACAACCCTACATCTTGCCTATGAGTTGACAGCAGAATGTTATTGTACTAGTGGTAAGGTTGCTGTTGTAGCATAGTCATGGCCTAAAAGTCACCTGAAACCTTTTCACTCTTTACTAAGAAAAGAAAAAAAAGCAGCACAAACGAAAACTGTTCTACTGAGCAGTGTAGACGAGAGCTATTCCTTGTAACTATCTGCTGGTAATAAAGATTATTTGCCTGAACCCTTCAACAAAGCTTGAAAGTTGGCATTAATACCAATTAATATACTTTTCAGGCTCTTTTCGTCCAAGATACCATGATGTGCACTTGTTATGCAATTGGAAAGAGATGCCAAACAGAGTTTACTGGATCATATTTCCATCTCACTGCTGTAAGGACTGTGAGTTTCTGAAGGCTCTGGCATGGTGAGGACAGTGTTTTTTTAAGACAATTTTTCATTCACACTTCTGTGTCTAGAAGCGAAGCACATCTGGACAGGTGCTGGGAAAACAATTACTATTTGTGGCAAAGGGGATTTAACATATCGGAAATGGATTTAACATGTTGGAAATGGCAACATGAATTAAAACTTGTTAAGTATTCTAATTTGTTACTAAGGTTTAACTATAAATTCTCCCTCTTGCTTTAGTGAAGCAGCTTTTCACCCTCTGCTTTTTCAGCCAAGCTCCCTCCACTGCAAATCTCCCTTAGCACTCTTAATTCTGACTGCAATACCAACCATTTTCCAAACACTTTCCCTTCTCTCATGGAGTGGTGGTTTTGTGAACCTGATAAACATCTGCCTGAAACCCTGGTTGGCACAGCTGAACTCATTTTCAAGTGTCAACATGGGTGTGTAGAAAGCAATTCAAGTTTAACAAGGCATGATGCATGAGGGCATGATAGAATATCAGTTGTGATTCTGACCAAAATAAACCCGAGTGGCAGAGAGGATATGGCTCTGCTACAACTACTGGTGTGTGACCTACCTGGACCGAGATCTTCAGCCTCCACCAGAAGAGAGCTACAAATTAACTCTACAGCACTGCTGGCCTGCAGACGACGGTGCCTGATACACTGGTGACATGGCTTAAAAATCTCAGCTTCTAATTATTGTTAGATTGCTATTTATGGCAGTACAAAACTACCCACCAACCTCACTTACCCTGTTGGATTTCATAATTAGCTTTTCTATGCTCGTGCTATATCCAATTTCTGTTGAATAAAATCAAATGTGCAGTGGGAATTCTGTGGATCCCAGAAAAGATCCATTTCTTTGTTGGGTGATGCTAGGGAGTCAATTAAATCTTTTTGGGGCTCAAGACATCTGATGCCCAGATCTTGTTATTTCAGCAATTAATTAGCTCCTTTCCCACTTGTGTCTTTCATCACCCCTTCTCTGTGCTACTTACAGAATGGAATCAGTGAAAATCAGAAAAATGTGTCTTGCCTCAGTGTTGGGTCTAGAAGGATAGTGACAGCACTTGATTCCATCAGTTAACATTCATTACTGAGTTGTAGGAACCATCCTCAGAGCTTTCCCCTAGTCTTCCCCAAGGCAAAAGCCATGATCCTGAGGCATTCCTTGCCTGAAGGGTCTGCTGCATCCCAGCCCCGAAAGTTGTGGGATGGCAGGCTAAGCATGCATAAATGTGAGCAATTTTTTGGGGGCTCCCTGTTTATTGTCAGAGTGTCTTTTCAACCAGTTCTCATTATTCAGAAGTAGTATAATAACTGCTTTCAAGCAGTACTATGAAGTATAGGAATACCTGCAACCTCCTCTGCTGAAATTTAGAGGCATTTTAAAGAAGCTAGGTTGTACACAAAACAAAAAACCGCATGCACAAATTGTTGCACAAAATACTGTGGACCCTAGATCCTACTGAAAACAAGTAGATCCAAAAGTAAAGAAAAATATCTGCATCTATACCTATGTAAAATGGATACTATTACTTTTTCTGTGCCTTCTGAAAATGTAATAAAATGCATAAACTGTGCTTTCTATGTATTTTTTTTTTTTTTCTATAGAAGTGGTGTTTTCACAGCTCCACACTTAAAATTACATTACTCTCCGTGCTGTTAAATGGCAATGGCTAGTACCAAAGCATCCTTCCGCACTAACAGATGGGACTATCACTATTTTCTTTTCTAGTCAGCACCACCTGGCACTGAGTGTTTGAGGAGGTTCATGATCTGAGAATAATTTCAGGCCCATATACCATGGAGTTAATATGCAGCCTGGGTCATCAATATACATTTATTTTTCTTTTCAATATGTTTTCACAGGGCCTTTCCCCAAAAGGCACTTTTGCATTCAAAAGGGATCACCGGCTATTGAAGTCTATGCTGCACTTCATTTCCAAAGTTCAGGTCAGCCACTTGACCGCTCTTGGTGGTGCTGCTTAACACCTTTGCCCTGCTTTTTGTGTTGTGATAGGGGCACAAGATTTAAAAGTCCTTTTTAGAAACTTTCGTCCAGGCAAAGCTCTCAGGTTCAAGCTAACCTCTTTGTTTCTCAGTTAGTGCAGACCTATGTTTTGCATACAGTTATAGAAAACACAGGAATGGAGGAGATAGTGCTACAGTGTGGGCTAGTTCCCATGACCCTGTATGCCTTCAAGCAGCCATTTACAGTCCTTTTTTTTTGGCCTTATGCTTAAAAGTAGAAATGGGGTCAGGGACGGATCTTTCATTTTGTGAGAGCAGAAAACTGAGGGTGGTTTCTCAGGGTGCAAAGGAACCTTTCCAGCTGACAAACAGGGTGATAACACAAGCTAATACGCTGGCACCGAGACCTTTCTGACACTGGAAATAAAAGGTGATAATTTCAGTCACTGTGAAAAGTTCACGTGGATGCCTTCATCACGTGGGACATATTACAGTATAACCTCTAGCTGCAGACAGCAGCTATGCCTACCTTGGCTGAGACATATAGCTCCCAATTAGCACTTAAGGAAAGAGACTTTACAGACTGCACACTCACCTCTGCTCAGCCCATCTGGTCCCCGAAGGATTCGGCATTCTTCTATCTGGCCGAACGGAGAAAACATCACCCTGATATCATTCTCATTACACTTCTTCGAAACCATTCCTATGAACAATTTTCTGTCTTCCACAGCTAGAAGATAAAAATAATGAATGAGCAAAGGCCATTTCATCTTTTTTCCTGTGATCAATGCTTCATTACCACATCAAACCAAGCTCCAGTCATGTGAGTCTGGCTCTGTAACTGAAGACAAGTCCTAAGGCAAACACTTTATACTTACAACCTCCCTTCCCCTCTTCCTCCCCCACCCCAAATCTCTCATTTTTCTTTCTCACTCTTCTTTTTCTAGTGGTGCTTGTTGTTTATATAACATATTAATTGGCTGCCTTAGTCATTCTGCATATGCCTCTCCATCGCAGCTTCTAAGAGAAAAGCATCTTCGTTTAGAGAGACTTTTAAAGATATCTTTGCATAGATTTTAATTCAGATAAATTCCCTCACCTCCCTCATGTATGAAAGAAATCGTGACAGGGGTGAGAGTGAAGAAGGGATTGTGTGCGTAATGATATGAGCTAATGCAAAATATTCCTGAGAAATGTTTTGAGAGCGGCTCCTATCTGAGCTTTCAATTTCAGCCAACTTAATGCATGGCACTCGAAAAGCAGATGTGTAATGACTGCTCTGGAAAAAGAATGCATTATATTTTCCTGATTTTTTTTTTCCAGACTGCCACAGCCATCTCGCCTTCAGGAGGATAGAAGGCATATTCCAGGGCATCACTTTAACAAGGGGGGCTGCATAATGCTTTGCCAGAGCCAAACCCTTTGATTTGTAATGATGCTGAGTTTGCAAAAGAACATGAAAAAGGTGCTTTACCTGAATTATTGGTAGTCTATTTCCCGCCTGCTTTGTCACCAAAATCAGCACAAGCTGGACTGCTGCAGCAGGATGCATGCAGCCCTCTTAATCAAACTCAAATTTACAGGTCTAAAGCTGTGGAATCTTGTCAAAAATGAAATGGGTCATCAAAGCTTAATTCACCCTGGAAAGACTTAAAAATGTTAACACACCCTCCTATCTCTGTTAAACCAAAAATCTAAGTGCTTATTATACAGTATGTACACCAGTGCTTTCTTCTTCTCTTGAAATGGCATGTAAATCCAATTCACTGTTAATGAGCAGACTGTCAGAGTTTGCGAGAAAGCAGAGAGAGAAGGAAAGCTTTACTCCAGAGAGTCTGCAGTGACTTACTTATTTCTATTATCGTGCAAATTATTTTTGCACATAAAAAAAGAAAAAAAATCTTCCCTTGCTCCCCAACTCCCTCTCTCCTGTATTAGTATGAGTTTGTCAAATGGAATAAATTGCAGCTGAGGAAGAAGAAGAAACTGCATCTATTTTCATAGGATTTTATTTGTGTTCTCCTTCAGCATTTTAAGTGCATTTAATAATTCCAGCAATAAAAAGAAGAGTTTCATGTTTATTGATCATGAGAGGGGTTTAAATTATTTTTTCCTTAAAATTATTGACTTTAAAAGGTATCTGTAGCTTTTATACAATCAAGCACCAAGACCATGCATTTTTCAGAATCCAAAACAAGAGACCAGACCCTACAACTCCAGCTTGTCACTCTACAAGCTTGCAAGAAAATTGGCATGAATTTAACACCCAGCAGAAGAATTTTTCCTCAGCAGAGATTCCCCAAGACTGAACATTTTCTTTCACAGTTTTTATTCAGGCTCCACATGCAGGTTAACCCTCCAGAAAGGGTTAACAGATGAATGCATGGGATGAACCAGTTATATATAAGAACAGGAGCTGAATATGCGAGATTCAAATAAGAGCTGCAAGTTGGGATTTACATATATATATATATATATATATATATATATACACATGCACACACATATATACAATGAAACTTTACTTCTGCTTTGTAATATATAATTTTCCATGATGCTGCTAGTAATTATTAGCTAGTAATTATTATCTTGTGCCTTGCTCACAGACAGAAGGAGAGTCTAGGTAGTCACTTTTGCTGTTGAAAGGATACCTGTAACTTGGCTGCTTACAACTTCGATATCGCTTTGAGTAATCACTTTGAGGAAGGTTCCTGGCCAGTCTGTTCCCTCGACAACATCTACTCACCGTGGCCAAGGGTGCAGGGAAGGGTGTGATGCAAAGGACCATGCTGGGCTCCCAGGTATGGAGTTCTCCATACCACAAACTGAGGTCAGCCTGGGGGAAGCCTTGGTGCCAAGCACAGGTCCAAGCATTGCCTCCTGCTCTGTGCTATGAACCTCTTAACTTCTGCCCATGTGTCAGCTTGGACCAGCCAGTTTAAATTTTGGTTGATTTTAGGCTTGAAATATAGTGCGCAGGTCTACCCTAAGGGTGACTAGATCTCAACCCTCTCTTAAAAATAGCTGCTGGTTGAGTTGGGCAAATGCCTGACACACCATCCCAAAGGAGGCCCCTTGAGTTCTGCTTAGGTGCAAGGACAAAGACTCAAGCCAGAGAGATTCACATGGAGATTCAAAAGAAATGAGATGCAAACAGGAAGACTTTGTTTTAATTTTCCAAAGAGTAGCAGACGACAAACTCCCCACTGGCCTCCTTCAGTTTCACTAGTAAACCTATAAATATGCCATTTAACTAACGTGATTTGCAGGTTTTCAGCTTGAGGGTGATTTTATAGTAAATTAAACATCCAGCTCCTGTGTACTGTACATCTTAAAAATGCAGATTTCGCGAAGAATGCTCAGAGTACAGAAAACATATTGATATGATGACGTGCTCTGAATTCAGTGCTGTTAGTCAGTGCTGATCAGTGTTGAAGCTTAAGAAAATTGCTATTCTTTTTTTTTTGGCTAGGGGCCCAGCCTAGAAAACATTTAAAGGGACAATTTTCAGGATCAAAATGACATGTTTTCACTCCATCTGATAGAACATCTGATATTATTAGGCTGACAGAGTTTTTAATGATATATTCTCACGCAGAGAAAGGAATGCTTTTTCACCTCTGCAAGACTGGCTGTCTGGATTTGTTTCTGCATTTTTGGTCAGCTACTTCTCTTTTTTTCTAAAATGAATTCTTACTTGCCATGAAGGCATGGTTTGAGAATCGAATAGACAACAGACTGCAAGAAGCATGGGTCAAATGTATTTAGAAGTTAGCAAACTCCCCTTTCAATCAGCCAAGCCTGCTGATTTGACTCTGTATGTTGGGTTGCTCCCATAGACTGTAAAATGAGGAGCCCAACGTTAAACACACATGATCCAACTGTGTTGAGATTGGGAAAGGTGTTACCTGCTGCTGGTTGGAGAAAGGATGGCAGTCTAAAGCCATATTACCTAAATGTCTCAGCTAAAATGTTATCAATGGGCTGTTGTCAATGCCAAGAGATCAGCTCCTCCAAGGTGACTGATCTCACCTCTCTCAGTAAGATGGGATGACTTGTTTCATGGGAGTCTCTCCCCTGCTGGGTAGGGCTGCTACCTCCCAGCCAACTCCCGAAACTTGGTCATCATGATAACACAGAGATGTCCTGAGCTCCAACTTATAAGTGAGTAATAAGTGAGCTCTGAGGGACTGGACAAAGCTTGGGAGCTGCCTGAAAATTCTCTTTCTCACACTAAAGATAGGTTTCAATAATTCAAAATCCAGAAAATTCATGAAAATTTTTTGGCAAGTACTTGATATCATTATTTCTGAACCTTGCTCACAGGCTTAGTTGTCATTTCTGGCTGGTTTGTTCCATTCTGGGGGCACGAAGTAGATCCAACCATCCATAAGCAGCTAGTAGGGTGCAGTGGCTGAATGCCCCTCATTGATGGAGCAGAAGGTCACAGTGAACAAGGCCTGAAGTTCTAGTTACATGAAGGAAGGTGTGAAACTGCACAGTATCTTGATTAACTAATTACAGGGTTCACCTTAAATCCATCTAAACATATTACAAACACAGGTTAGCTATGCTGCCAGGACAGTTGGTGAGACACATCTAGTGTTAAACCTGCTGGATTTGGGGTGGGAATCTTTTGCCTGAATGCAGGAACCCAGTGTGATGAGGTGTAAATATCTGTTTTAAAATGAGATGCATTGTTCTTGTAACTCCATCAAGACGAGCTCTGCAATTACTATCACTGGTGTGTATTGTGCTTGAATCCAGAGCACTGCATTAGCCATCAAAGGTTATCTGAGATGAGGCCTGCCTATGCTGGGAGGTGCTTTTTTCAAACGGAGCCTCCTATTTTCTGACAGCACTACATTCAACCTGAAGAATAACATCCTGAATGGTCTAATTTTTTAGCTTTACTCAATTTGCTTCAGTAATGAGCATTTCTTGCAACCTGTATTAGATAGCTTGTGCTAACCCAGGAGAATAAATGAGATTATTTTCTGTATGCTACAAAAGAATTAAATCGTGTAATAATCATGGGAAATCTCACTGAAGATTCAACAAACTTTCTTTTTCTTTCTCCTAAAGCCTCAAAATTCTGTCCTGAAAAACCAAAACTATATCCCTTTAGTATACATTTTTGAGGAGTCTAGTCAGTTAAGGAGTGCCATTTCCATCCAGAAGATGATTTCTCCTTTGAGCAAATCAAGAAATAGTTAATTATGTATAAATGTTTGGGGTTTTTTTGTTTGTTTGGGTTTTTTTGCTGTTTTTTTGTTTTGTTTTGTTTTTTTTTCATTCAGAAGGGAAGGAGGAAAACAGACTTTTTATCTCTATTTGTAAGCCTGTGAAAAACCTTTGCATACAATCTGTCAAAGTCACACCTGGATCCAGAGCTGCCTGCATTAATTATCAACTTTTCTATGTGTTAGTGCTAACATATGGCATTTAATTACTCCCTCCAAATCGACAAAGTTGTGCCATTTCGAATTAAAAAAAATTTTTTCTTCAAGTTTTCACTAAGAAAATAAATAAAAATAAATCATAAGTTCACTCAGCTATGCCCCCTCCCCCCCACGCCCCCACCTTTTTTTTTAGTAGAGAATTTTATCATTTTCCTTTAAGTGGTGATGCTTTGATCCATTTAAGAGCAGACTGTCTGCAGGATATGTACCTGAAAGAATTGAGTGTATTCAAATCCTGATCCAAAACACAATTAAGTATTTGCTAAATTGTATCATGTTAATGACCACAGACAACTTAGAGCCAAGCATGTGTTTATGTGCTTTTTGGCATTAGAGTGCAGGAACCCCCTTTGTTTGAAAAAGGGAAACTAACCTTAAATGGAAAAATACTTTAAGTGATTAACAGTTGAAGTGAATTTAGGAATGGTAGAGCCTTCAAAGTATTCAAACCTTGCTTCTCTGGCAGATAAACCTTAACCAAAACTTTGTAGATAGGTTAAAATAGCCACCTAGCAATATAAAGGTGATCAGACTAGACCTAATGGGTGATCAGACCAGGACACACTACAAAAATCATTAGCTGAAAATCTTTCAGGGTTGTTATATTTCTCAACAATAAAAACCTTTTCAGAATCCTCACAGGGAGACAAATTAATTAGATCTAAAGGCAAGTCTTTCCCCATCAACTCTAGCTGCTAAAAGTTTGTTCGAAGAAATTAAGCTTTGCTTCATCTGCATAAGCAGAGATGACTCAGACACATGAGCTACTGTATGCAGGGAAGGAATGGAGATGGTTGCATAGACCTATCAGCCACCAAGTTCCTACCCAGAAGAAAATAGATCTGCAGGTTGCTAACAAAGCCCTAACCCTGCAGAAGTGCCCAGGCACTTAGTCAAACATGTGCAGGAGGTGCCTCTTCCATACCCATCTCCCAGCTTCCACAAGGCGAGATTGGCTTTTTGTGCTAAGGGACAGGTTTCTGAAGTGATGCATACATTTAAAGACAGGAACAGTGATGGAAAAGGAGGAGCACTTCATCCTGGTACTCCTGGACTCGGATGCTCATTCAATCTTTTTTTTAAGGGACCTAAGATGGGGAGGGGGACATCTTATCACACAGTAAATACTGTTCTTTGAAAACCTCTGTAAGATGAATGAGTGTACCTCTCCTTCCTCCCCTTGGAACTTAAACAGATTTCTCAAGCCTTAATAAACGTGTGCAAGCTCAGAAGAATTACATTGAGTGTTCAACCTCTCCTACGTATCTTTCCACAAGCTATCTGGAAATTTTGACCAAGAGAATTTCTTTAACCTCTTTGAAACTTGAGAAACACCACTTTACCTATAAAATGTAGTGGGATCCTACCACTACTCAGAAATCAAAGGATTTCAAGCATCCCTCAAAAGCTGAAACACCTCGGATCACAGAAACCAAGATGACTTGGCTTATCTTCTTTCTTTTCCCCTTTGAATTTACCAATCTGGTTGAAGATGTACAGTTTACAATTTGCTGTTGGCACAGATAATATACCTCCTCAAATGGATAGACTGAAGCATATGGGAAACACATGCCAAACAGGCCTTCACATCCCCCATGCTGCTGTTTTTTCTCTTTTTGGCTCTTCAAGCTGCTTGCAAACTCTTACTTCCTCCATTCAAATCATCATGGTATTAGTTTGCCTTCTGTTTCCCCAGTCCTTAAAAAGAAGAGTTCACCACCCCCAGAACATGCCTACCAGGAGTACCTACACCCTTCAGGAGTCTAAATCTATAGAGGTATTTAATTTGACAATTGCAACCTCTGATCTGTCCATGTGTTTTCCCCAAAATCCAAAGGCAAGATAAAAAAGTAAAAAAAGCCAGTCCCTCGTGATTTTCATGCTAGGGATAGGTGCAAGAAAATAAGAGAATATTCCCACAGTGCAGACAAGAGTATCATGCAGATAAACCTGGTGTAACAGCAGCAGCTAAGAGCTAACCTACTCTGCTTCCCAAGCAGGCACTACTTGCAGAGCAAGCCAGAATTTGCACAATTCCTCATAGAGCTTTGCCAATATGTTCGATCTCCTTTAGGAAGAAAAACTTCAGGCAATGAACAAGACGCTCACTATGAGTCAATTTAGGCCCACTGCATCTTATTTTTCTAATTTGCCAAGGTACGTGAGGTGAAATCTGACTTTGAAAGAAGAACCCATAGAGGCTACATTTAGTTCAGAGGGTCCAAGCCAGTGTTCCTGTACCTAAGGGATATTATGCCCATTGAAAGCACAATAAATACTAGGGAGTGGACTTTGGGTTCTAACAGCAAAATTCTCCTTGACCACAGTGGGCCCTTAAAAGTTCAGTCCTTCTGCCCATGTAGGCGCCTTGGCCTCTCTTCTGAGCATTCAAAGACAGCAAGAAATCACTGCTAAAACTCAATCCAAGAGCAAGAACACCATCCCTTTACAAATCGGTGATGGCTCAAATTTCCTGTGCTTGTGGCCAGTTTTGTTTTGAAACTTGTCATAATAGGAAACCTAGCATAATGTGAAGTTTTAATTTCCTTCCAAACTTTATAATCCTTGGAGAAGCCTGAAAATGGGATGCACTACAATTAGCAAAAAGAAGCCTTAAAAAAGCCTTGCAGAGAGATTTAGAGCCCAATCATAATTTACATTTGCAGGTATGTAGATCTCTAAGTGCACGGCTTCTGCCCTGATTACTAATTAATGAGGTGCAAAGATGCCTGTTGGAGGAACCAGCTCTGATTATGTGGGCCTTATGGGAAAATGAAGCTCTTGCAATCTAAGAAGGCAGATGATATCTTTAACATATATTTTAGAAAATTACAGGAACAAATCAAGGGGCAAAATATACACATGTATATATTTTTAAAGAATCACACACAGCCAGGTTGCGTTACCATCCGATTATCTTATTTCCTTGAATATACAAACCTGGCATGTTTAATAGATTTAGCATGCCATCTATTTTGCATGTCATATACATCCACTTAAACAGTACCCTAGTATTCTGAATGGATATTACTGTCTTTATAGCATTCATTTTACAATCATTGAGAGGAATAAGTATACAGAGTGCTGTAAAGTGGGTTTCCCAGTTCAGAACAAAGCATATGATTAAAACCTAAATTTGGCTCAGATTCAGAACAGCATCATTCAATAAAAAGTAAGTTTAGGCAAGTGTTTAAGATTCATGAGCTGCTTACATGGTTTGCTAACATAGGAATGTTTTTTGTTGATTTTCTTTTTTATTTTCACCATTAAAATTTGATCTACATCTTATCAATATCAGGTGCTCCTGCATCACCTTGCGGCCAGGAGAACATAAGGGAAAGACGTATGTAGCGAGGTGGGGCATGACATACAGCAGGTACAAGGAAGACCCCTTTTCAGAACATTTCCTTCCTTCTTTAAAGCACAGGATAAATGGGAGTTCAGAGCAGGCCAACATCTTCTCCAACACGTCAGGTGTAGGGAAACTACTTCATATCATTTTCATCACACAAGGAGTAAAGCAAAACCTCTCACAGTGTTGTGTTAGTTTAGAGAGAGTCAGACTTATGTAAAAATAGATTAAACACATACCATTTGACTTTTCACTATCTGCGGGTTTCATCTGAATAGGATGATGCATCTAAAAACAAAAATGAAAAAGAGTAAGGCAGGTTGGATAGTCAAAAAGATCAAGAATTGTGTTTTTAATGAAGGGCTAAAAGATATATGATTAATATTAAACATGTTGAAAAGACATAAATTCAAAATAATTCAATATTAGAGGCTTTTAAGAAAGGATAAAATGGTAAAGGAGCATTTTATAACCAGGAAGATTAAAAAAATAGATCATTGGGCCCACAGGACTCATATAAAACTTTAATTTGCTGTATCTAGTTTCAGAAGACCTCTAAAGTTACAACCCTCATTAGTTTATGGCATGCTTGGTTTCTGTTTTACCAATTTTTTTCCTTGAGCTCAACCACTGCCAAAACCGAGATGGAATTTTCAAGTAATTTAAGAGCTAGCAAGCATTTCAAACATACTCAGAGGAGTTGAGTTTGATAAATGAACTTTGCTTGTAATTAAAAAAACATGTGCTGATTCTTTCAGGACTGAAGAGGAAGAGACTCGTGCTTCCTATAATCGCTTCCTATAACCATTTAGTATCTCATTTTTTCTTTTTTAGAATACATTATACCTTCATTCATAAAGCTTCCATCACAGCATGGCACAATTCTGGCTTCTATAAAAACTCCTAACACTTTTCCCTTTTCAATCTCTCCCTCCATTCATGTCCTTCTTACTGCAAAATAAACCAAGCCCTGTGTGCAGTGTGCTATGCCAAACATCACACAGCACCGTACCTTGGCACACTCAGCATGGCATGTCCTTAGCTTTCTTTACTAAATGATGCTCCCCCCACATTAAGTTGTTGGTAACTCCAGCAAAGTTTTTATGACTGTTGTTTTCTGTTGTTTCAGGAATAGCAACACCACAACAGTTGAGTTCTCTCTGATCAGTGTGTGGCTTTTCTACTGGGCATTGGTTATAGCCAAATGCATGTCCACTGTGATGGATTCAGGGAAATTTTGTTACAGCTTCTCAAAAGCCTCCTTCAGAACTGACCTCACATTGAGTTTCAGTGTGGGAGACATTCAACCTTGCAAAAACCCCCACTTTTATTTTCTTTCATACTGTTCTGCAGAATCTCTGGGACTTGACTGCACAAAACTTCTGGCAGCAGTAGGGCCACTGCCTTTTCTCTCCTCAGCAATTCCTCACTATTTCACATGAGCAGGTAAAAAAAATCTATGCTCTTTCTGCTTTTGTATCATTTTTCAATGCAGCAGAGCTGAGTATTGCCTGAAAATGTCAGAGGCAATGCCATTTTTTTTATAAAAGACTATTATGGCAAACTTTGGGAAACAAAAACAGCTGAGCAGGAGAGAACATCCATGCACTCATATCAAATGTGCTTTCAAAGCAGCACAGAAACCCAAATCTGCATTGCTTTTGGTGGAGTCACTTAACCTTCAGGGACACAGTTTCTAGATTCTTTAGAAAATATAAAATATTGCTGTGAATGTTTCTGTAAGATTTACTTGAAGTCCAAAACACTCCCTGACCTTGCAAATCAATGCATTCCTTGTACAGCTTGCAAAACTCCCCACCGTGCCCTAAGGAAAAGGCAAAGCCACAAGGTGGATGTAGTCACCAGGATGCATAAATTTGCTTCAATTTTAACAATTCTGTTCTCTTTGAATCATTTGTTTCCCAAATGGACTTTAATAGCCCAGCACTTATCTGCCATCACTCTTATTCGATTTAATTTATAGAAAAAAGGGAACTTCTATTGTACTCTACCTTCTTTAACTAGTGCTTAACATTTATCCTGGCACCAACAATACACTGGGCACTGCAGGAGACTTTAAATTCATAGGAATGTGGTGCAGCAAGTCCACTCAGCAAGAAAAAAGTGAAAGAAGAAAAAAGCTGTAACTTGCTCCATGAGCCTGTTGCAGGTATTGACGTCTCTGAGGAGCAATGGAGTGGTGAGAAAATAGAAGAAAGAAAATTGAGTATTGTAAATTTGGGAATATGCAGGTTACAGAAGAAAAACCCAACCCAAATCCAGACTATTTGTAGACAGAAAATCTATTGCTCTTTCTAGCTGTATTTATATGCCCCTAAGTGGAGATACTTTGAATAAAGGCAATTCTAATAATGTTAAAAAGCTTTAACTTTTCAAACTGCCTGAACCAGAGAAACCAACTTTAGACCAAATTCTTGTGAAGAAGTTATTTTTGCAGCCTCACAGTCACAGCATAAAGATCAACATTACCTGACAAACACAGTTACCACATCAGAAATCATCTTCTTCTGTTATACATAATTACCCCAGGTTCATTAAGTCAGTTATCTGTTATGTTCACAAAGCAAGAGGCAAGATTTAAGAAGACACTTCAGCTGAATTTTGACTTGATTTCTAAGGCTCCTGCTAAAAACCCATTGTGCAAATTCTCTTTGCACCAGCAAGCCGAAGTCAGGAATGATGCCATTGTGCTTAACAAAATTATATTGGTGCAAAACTAATAAAAGATTCAGATCAGGCCTAGAGAGTTTAAACTGCAGAATACCCATGGTAAAATGGATGCGATACACAAACATGGCTTCAGTAAAGAGGAAAAGGTGGAAAAATACGTTACTGACAGTTTCCTAACATGAGAGGGCTCGTGTTGAAGCTTGTTTAACCCTGACCATCACCAACTGATACGTTAACAACCTTTAACACTAGATTCAATAAAACATGCCATTTATAACCTGGAATGGGTTTTACAGAGTCACTGGTTCGCATCTCATTATTAAACTCATTGCTGACCTCTAGAGACAACTGCCGTGACAATACATATTATAAGATCTCTACCCATAAAATATTTAAAAGTAGGTGTAAAAAAGAAAAGAAAAGAAAAGAATGAATCTCAAAGAAGTGTGCAGTGAATAAGAAAATTAAAGGGGCAGAGAAAAAGGCTAAATAGGTACTATCCTTTCACTCTACAATGAGCAAAAGGGAAAATAATCTATGCGTTTTATATCTTGCTTGTATAACTGCAGGCTATAAAATAATAAAATAGCTGTGCTTTCCGAGGCCCTCAAAAAGATTATAGATGATATAAACCTGTTTCAAATTAGATGCCACCCACTAGAATCATGTCATCTCCTGAAATGAAGGATTTCATGTCTTATCAGAAAGCTGTTATTGTAGCTATACATCACAAAGCCATACACTTATGGATCTCAAGGTAAGTGATTTCTCAGTATGTCATGTTGTCACACAGAAAATCAGGAAACATTTTCTTCTGTGCTTGAAGAAAGCTTTGCTTATGAAAATATAGTATTTACGAATGCACAGTTGCAATTAATAAATAGCCAAGAGTAAGAAAAATAACTGCAGTAAATAATTTATAGACATTAACATTACCCTGTGCTCAGACCATATAGTAAAAGAGAGCAATACAGCTCTCAGACAAATTCCTTCTGAGTGTGGGCAGCTTCCCCTGGCAAGCACTGTGCATGGGGATATCAAAATGAGACTGGAGCACGGGCTGTAAGGAACAACCTTTGCTCAGCAATAGTTTAGAGAGCTCTACCGCATACAGTTGTGCAGTCAGTAATGGCATGACCTGCCTTTCCTCTATCCGTAGGTCTCAAAACACACCACGCCACTGTTCTACAACGGAGAGCAGGCAACTGTCCATTGCCCAAGGTTGCACGGTGCCTTGCGGCAGTGCTGGCAGCAAAGTGGGGTTCCATCCGCTGCCCTCACTGTCACCGAGGCCATGCCAAGCCCGAGGCCAAGCACATCACCCCTTCTCCTTGGGCGCATCCCAAACAGGGGAGCTGATGGGAACCAAAAAGGGAAAGAAACAGTTGTCAAACATGTGATCCTGAAAATGCCCCTGAAATCAATGAGAATCTGGCCGCTGGCTACGTTGAGGGCAGCAGCAGGACTGAGCCATGCCTAGAATTACAATTGACTAGTTACATCTTTTTTCCCCCCTCTTTTCTGAGTACATCCCACTGTATGTAAACATAACTTCATTAGAGAAAAAAACAGAGCAGAGCAACCCAAAAATCTCTCAAAGGCACATATCCTCTCCAGCTTTAGAGCCTCAAAGTCATCTTTTTGACAATAATAACACTACCTATTTACATTCATGTCAAAGCCATGTGACATCTGCATGGGAGAAAACAAGCCGGCTAAGAGTCTATTTCTGGCAAAAATATTGCAAGGAAATTAGATTAACCTGGGTGGAATTCTATCTGGGAATTTGGAGTCTGTCGTGGTGATTAAGTCATCATTTCTGTCAGATTACTCTAATCGGCTGTCAAATACGATTCCACAACCCCATCTGTAACTTGGCATCCTCGTTATTCAGTCGATGTTACCTTCTGTATACAAAACAAACACCAAACAAGGAGGTGTGTGCAGCCTAGCATTTAGCAGAGTCATTAGCTGTGATTACTATTGTGTGCTTGCACATTTCACCAGGCGATCAGCTTTCGGCTTGTTTTATTTTGTCAGGGGATGCTTCAAATCAGGTGTAATCTTAAACCCGGAGCACTAGGAGTGAATGGGGAAGAACTGTCTCCAGGCATGGCCAAACATGGGATTGCCATGTTCTGAAGCACCACTATGTCACCAGCAATTGCTTAACTCTCATTTCAGATTTGTCAGCATATTTGGTGGAGAGGCTTTTGGGCACCTGCTTTCCATCCATTTTCTGAAGAGAAATAGGCACTCAGATGCTCCAGGTAGGCTAGAGTGCCTGCGAGCAGTAATTTCTGCAAGTGAAGCAAGGTTTGTAGGCCAAGGCAGTCAACACTCTAAATGACCTGTATTGGTTGGTTTAATAGGAGGTATTTTGTTATATATATGAGTATGTTTGTCTCACAGAGTACTCTGGTGACTAAAAAGCAGGAAATGCCTTTCAGTGAAGATGAAGGAGCTGATGGGCTCTGTTTGCTGCAGCTGTATAGAGTCTGTGAAATTCGGGTGCCCATAGCACCTCCAAAACTCTGGCCATGTAATTAGACTATGAAAAATCATTATTTTATGGTCCATTACAAAAACACTTTAAT